GTGGATGAAGAATAGCCCCGTATACACCGTTGGTGCACAATCCTTTTGAAATTCCTCAGAAGACATCAGGAACACGCCAGGGCAGAGGGCTGAAAAGAATGGGCAAGAAGTCAGAAATTTGGAATCCACAATGCCACAACGAAAAAGGCGGAATGGAAAGGGAGTTACTGCGATCCCCCGGCAGATGGCTCTTGGCAGCCAGGAGGTGCTACACAAGGCGGTGGCGCACAAGGCGGACATCGTCGCCATCGACGAGAAGGAGACTGGCCTGCGCGCCACCCTGCCGCCTGCTTTATCCAAGCGCGGGTGCATGTACTTCACTTCCCGAGCTTCTGGATTTGAACGTTTTGGCGGCATCCTTCGAATGGTAGGCAACCAACTTACATTTCTTTTGGCCAATCCGCCCAGGAACTGCAGGCAGTCGCAGATGGGGTATTTGAAGTTGTTTGGTGGCTCGGCGCTTCGGAGCCGCGGCGGCCGAGGAACTACGGCCATACCATCGGCCACGCCATCGAGGCGCTGGTGTCGCCCAAGCTGCTGCACGGGGAGCCGCTCGCTGAGTGGGGGGGGAGAGGGGGGGGGTTCGCAGCCAAAAATCGAAGGGAAGGTCTCAAACATGGATCAGGAAGGACTTCCCTTTCCAGCCATGCAGTGGGTCTGAAAGTAACCATCTCACCGAGAAAAAAGTAGGCGAGAGCCGGGAGGTTTTTTCGTCGCACACGGCTGCCATGAGGCTGGCTCAACCAACCTTCTGACCAAAGCCCAAGGGAAGCCAATGAGTCGGATAGGCGGCAAGTGCCAGTTTCTTGAGTCAGGTTTGCCAAGCTTGCCATCAACAACACGCATGAGTGCCTCTAACATCATTAATGGGTTCATGTGTACCTGTTCCGCTGGCATAGCCAGGATAACATACCCCTAGGCCTAGTGCTGCACTGCCACTTGCTTTCACTTGCGCACTGCGCCAGAGAGTGAGACAGAACCCAACACAAGGTTGCTATTTCTCATGGTTCCTACTGAATGAACCCTGGAGTTCGTTTGGTGCTCTCTCCGCCGAGATGCAACGTCGCTGGCCCAGGTTTGGCAGGCGTTCCTTTTTTGGAGAACGACTAAAGGTTGGCTTGGCTGTTCAAAGGCAGCGCTATCTATCCTTTCCTTGGGTTGCGAAAAGGGGTGCCGGGTCCCCTCGCTGCTCCAGGGGGGTTCCCCTCGTTGGAGACATCCCCGTGTTCCCCACGGGGGCTGCACGGCTGCACGGCGAGCGGCGAGGTGTGTGGCCATCGGCTGCGTGGCGGAGGCGGAGCTTGCTTGCCGGATGGGACACCTCAAGGCGGAGGCGGGTCGGATGCGAGGAGACATGGATATAGCGGTGGACGTTTCCTGTTGGTGTTTTTTTTTTGCAGCTTTCTTCGGTTCCAAGCCAGGGGTGAGTTTCAGCAGCCAGGAAGGAGCAACTTCGAATTTACAGGAAGAAAACATCAAAAGCACAAAGGGCAGCAATGTGGAGGTCTGGGCTGGACAGATGACACCTTGTCATTACTTGCGAATTCACTGGCTGGAACGTCCAAGTTGCGAGATGACAAACAGATGCTTAGGCATCTCCATCAAAATAATGTCTTCTGCAAGGATTCCTTCTGAGTTGGCTCGCTACATTGCGTAAACCAGAATTTCCTAGCCAGCTACCCGCATTCCCCTTTTCTTCCCATGGCCACTTAGGTCAAGTATTGAGAGGGCCGTACATCTAAGTAGGGAGAATGCGTGCGGAGGCCATCCCCGAGATCCGGAGCTGCTTCCAGGTGCGCCTTTCTTTCTTTCTTTCTTTCTTTCTTTCTTCCTTTTTTTTGGGGGGGGGGATATGTCAGGTGTGAGCTATTGTTGGCATTTTCACGGTTCTCGGGTTGGTGTTTCTGCTGCTTTGGGAGGCAGGCGTGTGAAGCCCATGGGCCCTTGGGCCCTCCGAGAACCCGAGGCGTACGGACTGCCTGTGGTGCCCCCGGCCGGTTTGACCCTGGAGAAGGTCATGGAGAAGATGGCCGTGGACAAGACCCCCGGCTGGCTTCGGGTGGAACTTTTTGCAGGGGGGTCAACAGCAACCAAGCCAGGGTTCCCCTCACTGCGTGCGAGGGTGTTGGGCGGCAGCCTTCAGGCTGAAACCCTCACAAACCCACTGCGATGTTGGAACGCCGCCCCTCCAAATGGACAAGAGTCGGCACCAGGTTACCTGGTTGCCTTCTGCAACACACCACTCCAAAGGTTCAAATGGTGTGTGTCACAAGCGTGTCAGCCGCCCTTGTTGACAACCCCGACTTAAACCCAGAACCTTCTCTTGTTCAGGAAATCCACCACCCCTGTGTGACAAACAGCAAAAACCCTGCCAGTTTGGTTTGACCCTTCATCCCAGAACTGGCGACCCCGATGGCCTAGGAAGAACCAGGGCAAGACCATTCGCTGCACCATCATCACATCGGTGGGTACTAGCATCGAGCACCCCCTGCCGGTCCAGCGAGAGCTCATGGAAGCGGTGGTGGGAGATATGCTGAAAACGAGCGTGGCCTGTGCCAAAACCGACCCTCTGGTGGAGTAAAAATTCGCGTTCTTTGCATCGTCCACAGCCACCCATGAATCGAAATCATATTGAATCAAAAGAACATTTGACTGTGGGGTGCGAAAATGGCAGCTGCGCGCAGAGATGGGGGAGCAGGAGGGGAGGATGAGTTGGGATGTACGTCTCAAATCTCAACGCGCAACTGGCGACAGCCCTGCCCGCCTGTGGATGCGCATGCTCCATGATCAGCTAATCCCCGCGCGGCTGCAATTACCACGTCAAATGCGCATGCATGGCCCAGAAAGCTCAGCAAGTCTCAAGGGCCCGGGATATTCTGGGCCCTCAACTCAGCATTTACTCCCACATTTGGCTTCCACTCCCTCCCTGATCCTTCCACCAGAATGCTCAGAAAATCGGTTAATTACATGCCAAGAAAATGTACATCTGTATACATGTATATATGTATATATGAATATATGTATGCATGTATCTATGTATACATGCATACATGTACAGATGTATATATGTATATATGTATGCATGTATGTATGTATACATGTAATTATGTATGCATGTATATATGCATATATGTGGTACGCCCCCCCCCCCCCCCCCCCGGTGCCTAGGTTGTGCTTGATTTCATACATTTTTTCAGGAAATTTGCATTTTTTGGTAAAGCTTGGGCACCAAGGAAGGGTGTGTGTGTGTGTGTGCCACAATTCTACAATTAGGAATTCTGGACCCAAGATTGCTGGGAGACGTTCAATGTGCCAATCTGGAATTCAAGATTCTGAAATCCCGGAATATTGAATCTTGCGTCCCATTTTTTTATTATTATTCTGGGATTCAAGATTCAAGATTCCCACAAAACAACTATATTGAAATCTTGAATCTTGAATCTTGAACCTCATATTTTTTTTTAGACATGGGATTCAATATTCAATATTTCACAACAATCTTTTTCTGATAATCTTGAATCTTGAATCCAATAATTTTTATTTTATTTTCTAAATATCCAGGTTTGTCCCAATACTCTCGGTGTTCAACAAGATTCTCGGAAAAGCTTTCCGTGAAATATTTCAATCTCGAACCTTGAATCCAGTGGTAAAATACGTTCGAAGTTTTAGAACAACTTGATCATTTTCAGGGTTTTGACCAGGATGGATGATTCTTAGGAAAGTTGTTGTTTGTGCAATCCTCGATATTGAATCCTCAATCCAGTGGTAAAACACTTTCAAGTGTGAGAAGAACTTGAATGTTGTTTGGGTTTGGCCAGGATTGACAATTCTCAGGAAAGTGTTCTGTGTATTCTTCAATCTTGGTTTTTCCCATCCAGTGCTAAAATACTTTCAAGTGCTTAGCGATCCAGTGGAAACGCTTTCAAGTTATTAGTTAGACAAACTTTTAAGTGCTTTTGGTGAGCGGTTTGCTTCATGTTAGCTATGAAGCGTGTTGACCCTTTTGCAGGAGGTTAACAAAGGTAGGTGTAATGCTCAACAACAGCATTGTAGGAAGAGGCGCAGGATCATTAGGGGTACTATATATGTGTGTATGTATGTGTATACATATATTCATATGTATGTATGTATGTATGTATGTATGTTCACACACCCCCCCCTCTTGAACTACCTCTCCACATTTGCTCATCTACTGCCTCCGCCTTTTGAGATAGAAGGAATTTTAAATGTTGTCCTGTGCAAATAGAACTTTAAATGCAACTGATTCAGCTAGAATCCCTGTTTCGAAATATGTTTAAAATTTGAACCTCTCTTCCCTTGAATTTCCTTTTGTCTAACAAGTTTAATTTCGGACCTTTCTTATGCTGCAAACGGGCCAGGATATAAATAACACAGATCGTATCTCGAATTTCCTTGTAGAAGTCCCTTAAATGTTTAGCCATATTTAATACGAACTAAATTTGAGAAGTAGTCTCTATTTAATTGTTATTATGAAAAGCTAATTGAGTTGTGTTCGTACTAGATTATATCTAACACTTAGAGTATATTTGAGAATAAACTCCTAACTTCTTTTGTTGAAGATTAGTTGGAGTTTGCCCGAACCTATACTGATATTCCCATGTAGCTCCTATTTGGAAGGGATTTGCCTGTATAAGCTGTAGTTGAGCAATGTTGAGCATAAACCAATTTTTGTTTCTATATCCTAACCAAATTATATTCAAAGTTCCAAATCTAGTTGAAGTAAAATCCTATTTGGAAAGGGTATCATATTGGGACATTTCGGATCTTGCAATGATGGACTGCAAGCCCATTCGTCTGTGCTTAAAATCTTTTGCAAAAAAAACAACTCTAGAGCCTGCGCGCTGAAATCAAGCAAAACCTAGGCACCAGGGGGGGGGCGTTGCATATATTGTATGTATATCAAGTTTGCATGTCCTTACATTTGCTTGCAGCGCTCGGCTTAATGTTTCCAGCCCTTCGAGGGTCAACCCCGGGCGCAGGCAGCGAGCGGAGCAACTGGAGGCCTTGCGGCAGAAGCAGCAGGACGCCGCGGAGAAGGCCCTGGAGATGGCGCCCCGAAGTGCAAAGATCCGCAGCCGGAAAGCCGAAAACAAGCAAAACACGCGCCCGGAGGGTTAGGAACCTCCCTCAAAACCGGGAGTGAGTGAGTTGTCCGTTTTGGACTTTCGCTTTTTTTTTTTTTTTTTTTTTTTGGGGGGGGAGGGTTTTGGTGGCCGTTTTTGAGGGGTAAACGATTTGGTTTGGAGGTGTTTTTTTCCTGCCAATTTGTTCAGGGAGTCAGTGGGCGTTTCGGAAAATCGATCAGCCCTTCAGGTGGTTGATTTCCTTCTTTTAGTAGGTGGCACGAGAGTGGGAGAGAGAGAGAGCGAGAGAGATGATTTTAGTAGGTGGGCGAGAAACTCAAAATCGAGGAACCCACCACGTTTCCTCTTGGTCTCCTTGTTGGTTTTTTTTTCAGATGTGATATTTCCAGAACCTACACCTTGTGATAATCTGGTTTTCCATTTGTCATTTCTTTGAGTAAAGACAAACGCCAAGAACACGAAAGTTTCACATGTGATCGATCATCACACGTGATATCATATTAAATTTCGATATTTGAAATGATTTTAGCTCTTCCTTTTTCGTAGCTTTCTGGAGGCGGTCTTCCTACCCTGTTTCATGGGTGCTGTGTAGTAGGGCCCAACAAAGCCCTTTTCGGCCATGTCAATAGAAACTCACGTCAACGCGTTTTCGCTGCTCAAGTTGCAGAGGGAGTTGCCTCCTCTTGCTCTTGGGTATTTCTTCCAGTCGGTTCCTTCAGATTTGAATCCGAGAAAGAGTTGAGGGTGGCCATTGCTCGGTGGCTCCCAGCCATCCGGTTCCTTAGCTTTTTCGCCTTTTAGTGTTTAGTGGCAGCTTCCATTTAACCCACAAAAAGTTAAACCTTTAGCGGGGGATCCGAGGGCAGCCCAGATTGTGCTGTGTGACACGTATGCTTTTTTGCGTGTGCTTGCGGGCTGGGGGCAGTGCTAACCGCTCAGTCGGCTGGAGCTGGCATCTAAGGGCCAGCGCTCGTCGGAGTTTCAGCAGCTCGGGCTGCAAGGGCATAGCCTTTGATTCTAGAAGAGAGTTCAGCGATGCCCAGTAGTGGAGTTTTGCATCAATGTGCGATGACTTTTCGTTTTTGTTTATCCTCTCACCCTCTTTGGCTTCCTCCACGTGGGGGAAGATTCATCTCGCTTGCAAGCTAAACTCACGCTACAAAATGCTCGCAAAACTTGGCTTAGACAAATGGGGTACTGCCGCCCTGTTCGGCGAAGCACTTCTCAGGCAATCTTTTTAGCCAGAAGTCTTCAGGACCTAGCGGGCAAATCAAACTCAAGAACCGCACCAATACTGTCGGATCGACAAGGCACCGCAGGGTAAGATGGTTGAAACCCTGTGCACGCTATGTACGCCAATTCAAGGTCAACATGGAGACACTGAGTCGAGCTGGAGAGCGCAATCTAGTGGAATTAGGCAAGGGTGCCTGCCCCTTGTCATTGTTCTGGGGGCCCCAAATGGCTGATGTTCAGGCTGCGCACCCATCGTCAAACCTATTGATGGAGTTTTCTTCAGCCATATCCTGTACGCTGATGACACTCCAATATTCGTCGCAAACACACGATGCATTAGCCACTAGTGTCCTTTTGCACACCATTGAGCATCATCCACTCTATTTCGGAATCAATTTGAACTACGAGAAGTGCGTGAATCCAGCAGCAACCAGAGGCATTCAACAGTCCGATTTGCTGAATGACCCTGAAGCTTTAAGGCCAAGGCCAAAAAGGAGCACGTTCAAACAGTACTTAGATTCAACAAATAGTGGTTCAACCAATGGTGATGTAAAACATGGTGCCCGGAACACTGGTGATTTAAACAACTGTGGTTTTAAAACAATTTGGCTCAAGCAATGGGTAACTGACGTTGAAACAAGGGCTTTCTGTACTGCTGGCCCGCCCCCCCTTGTCCGGGATTCTCAGGCAGCAGCTCCAGGAAGCCAAGGCCAGTGCCCAGGCGGAGCTGCATGACAGGCGGATCCGGGGAAGCGACTTCTGTTGTTTTTTTTTTTGGAGGGGGGGGGGGCGACCTGGAGGGAGGAAGGGGCGACCTCCAGGGGTGGTTTTGGGGGGAAGGCTTCAGCTGTTTGACTTTTTGGTCTGAAGGGGGTCTTTCCTCATTTTCCCTGTTCAAGGAAGTTGGGGTGAGAGGGTGGCTTTCCGTGAAACCAGGTTGCCAGAGTGGCAACAGAGTCGTGGGGAGGGGAATTCCACTTTGGTTTCACGGAAAGGTGTATTTCCGCAAACATGCGTGGGGACAAGGGGCGTGCGGAGGCAGGTGAGCGCTGTTTTGCTGGGGCGCCTGCCTGGAGAACAGACAACATCGGCTGGATTGGAAGGGTAGTTACTTCACTTTTTGGAGCTCGGATTCTTCACGGGCTTGGTTGCCCCTTTCCAAGTTCAAAAGCGCTTTTCGAACGAGGGGGGGGGCAACAGGCAATTCAATTGGCGGCAGGTGGTAAAGTGTTGGGGGCCCAGAGCATCAATGTCCCCTGGTGTGGGCTTTGGTTTCGTATGTTCAACGTGGGAAGGATTTGGTTTACCCCTCTGTTTTGGGGATCACAAGTCAGGGGGGAACGGCCTTGTCATCGGCATGCTGAAGTAGCCTTGGTGAATTTTTCGGCTTTCTCGTGAGAGAGCCGGGACCGAGCAGATTGGATAAGATACATATGGGTGGGGGGATTGGGTCTGGGACGGTCTGGGTGTGCACGTGAGGCTCGTGGACCAGAATGAGCAGCAAAAGAAGATGGAGCTCTTGCGCGAGCAATTCAACACCGGGGTGCGCTGGCCAAAGTGTTTGGGAACTTCGGACATTTGCGAATGAGCAGCTGCCGGAAAGCACTTGCATGTTTTCTTCGACTTGGTCGCCACTTTGTCTCCCTGTTGGAGCTCTCTCCGACTCTTTGAGTGTCATTTTGATATTCCACAATTTCAAAGACGAACTCACCTGACTGACCTGACCTGCTCTTGCTTGCCTGATTTGCAACGAGCTCAACTGTGGCTTGCCTATGCAGCACACCATTGTTTTTTTTTGGGGGGCGGGCAGCTGCAGGCAACACTGCAACAGGAGAGACTCACAAAGGAGCAAAGGACAATTCGAATAAGACCGGGAAGTCCAAGACCGTCGGGACCCCAGAAACATCGAGGTGCCACCTGTGATCGGCGTGACGATAGATGCGGGAGAAGGCCGGCAAATGGCATCAGCAGCATGGGGCAAAAACAAGGACCCAATTGGACACGACATGACTGTGTCCTTTTGTAGGCGACTCCCCAAATTGGTGGATTTTCGTGGTTTCCCTTTAAACCAATTCAAAAAAGGGTACCCTCAAAAAAGACACCCACGCAGGCACCAGCAGAAGGTGTGTCTCAAAAACGGGGAGCACGGCTCTACAAGGAATGGATGCTAAGGTTTTGACCGTTCTTCGACGATGTTTCAGATACATCTTTGTGAGGTAGGTCGCATGTTTTCCCTATAGGTCCCAACATAAGCTCAGGTGATATCCCCAACAGCACGAGGTGCTCTTTTTAGAGCTCGCACCACCCCGCAGCCCTGGTGGAACCCTGGTGGAACCCTGATGGAACCCTGCTAGAACCCTGGTGGAACCTTACCTCAGGGCCGCCCCGGACCACCCCGGAGCCTATCTGGGCTGAGACCCCAAGGCTTTCAGCTGTTGGGGGAAAAAACGCAACTAAGACTTTGTGGATTTGGACGAGGCTCCCGCTATGTTTTTCAGAAGCTCGTGAAGCTTTGCGCAGCTCTCAGGGTGCACAGAACCTGGGTCCCTGCTTTAGGCCCCTGAGACCGTCCGACGCAGGTCTGGTGAGCCCGCTGCGAGGCAACAGGATTTGCCCGTGCGCCGCAAGAACTGCATCAGGAATTCGGTTGATGTATTGTCTTCCATGTTCTGAAGTGCGTGGTTTTCGCTTGATGGAGATGCCTGAGCATCAGCCTCCACGTTTTTTTGCCTGCGAACGTGGCACTGAGGGTGGGTTCCTGGAACGTCTTGGCGCAATTTCATTGAATTCGGAGTTGGGGGAAATTGGAGCCGCAAGCCTGTAAAATGTCCAACATGACCCGCTCGACCAGGTACTGTGTCATCGAGATTGAGCACAAGCCATACTCCCGGCTGGAGACTGCGGCACTGGAGGCGGCATGAATCAGAGGTCATCATTTGACTTGTTTTACTGTTTCTGGTGGTTTTCAAAGATGGGAAGTGGGGTTGTTTCCCTTTAGCCCACCACTTAGGGGCGACTTTGATCATGGCAGAATACCGAGGCCGGTGAATCGAAGTCGGACTCCTCAAGCTCACCCATTCCGGCGTTTTTTGGGAGCGTGCGGCATGCCGCCAGGGAACGTCGCCTGCGTGGGACTACACCGGCATCCTTCCAAGCTTCGTCTTTGGCGACATCGTGAAGTTTGCGGTGTACCACAAGGAGCCGCTGGATGTTTTGTGCTGCTCATTCCATTTGTCACGGCGAGCAGCAGAGTAGACGAGTAGCTTCCACGCCTTTCCAATGCATGCTTTCAGCGGGACCCACTGGGACTTGGGAGGCCCCTAGGTGGTCAGCTTCTCTGCCCCAACCGGCACATTGCAGCCAGGCAAGACCCATTGAAAAACCAGCCGCATCGCCTTGGTTCCAGCTGGCCGGCGCGCTTCCTTTGGGGTGCGGGTTCCCTCCCTTGGTGTCATGGCGCGGTCTCTGCTGCCTGTGCTGCTGTTGGGGGGCCTGGCGCTCCTGGCAACCCACGCCTTGCTCTTCACCGCCCCAAGCGGTGAGCGGAGCCTGCGGGTGGCGCGCCAGGCGGGGGAGGCGACACTCATCAAGCCGGAGGACCCGACAGCGATGCAAAGGGCTGGAAGGATCCACTGCTTTCGCAACTTAAGGGCCTGGGCCGGCTTCAGGGATTGATTTTTTGAAACGGGCCTGGTTGACACAAGCGATGATGTTTCAGCACATTCTCACAATCTTGCCCACATGATTGCGGCTAGATTCTGAATGCCATGGCCACCATTGGGTTGTGCATCAAAGCTCATCCTATTGCTTGCGCACGCACAAGGCACCCTCCCGACAAATTCTGCGCAGCATGCCCAAGCTCAAGCGTCACAAATGTGGTGTTTCTCTTCCCTCCTGTTTTGGGGGCAATGAGGACAGCCATTCTTGGGCCATTCGCCGCTGAAGGGCCGGGTACTTCTGTAAGGGGTCAGCAGCCTTATTGCAAGCAGCTTTCTGAGCACCCTGCCTCCAACAATCCTGGACGACTGTCCACTACCATGAGTAATTTGCAAAGAGGAGAAAGTGAAATCCCTTGCCCCTTTTGCAACCCTGTCAACCCTGGCTGCCCCGTCTGCAGCTCAGGACGCCGGGAAGATCACGGAGCGGGACGGCAACAACAACCCCCCGCGCATCGTGCTCCAGACAAACGACTGGGACCAGCCGGAGCTTCAGCTCTCCACCGGCGCCAGCAGCTTGGTCAGGTAGAACTTCTCCAGGCGCGCCCCTAAACACACCACCGCCCCCCCCCCCCCCAAAACACACCTGCAAAATTGGTTGATTTTAGTCTTTCCCAAGGAGAGATGTTTACTACCCCCGAAGGGTCGACTTTTAGTCTTTTCCAAATTTAGATTTTTTTACACTATTTGAATCATCACTTCTTCGAACATCATGCCGGGGGCTGCCGCCCTCCCCAACCCCCCCTGCTACTTCTTATTAGATTTGTTTACAGGGATTGAATTGCACCCCTATTTGAATAATCATGTACTCGCCCCGTCAACCCGCCCGCTACAGTGGCGGAAGGAAGGGGTGTGATCAGACCCTGCGGAAACCCATCCAACTTGGGGTTCCCTGAGGATCCCCAAGCCCGGCTCGGCTCAGTTCACAAAAAGAAGCTCTTGTTGATTCCCTGAGACCCAAGGCAACCAGATCAACTACATCACCCCTTCGGTGGCCTCGGAGGACCGGTCGAGGGCGAAACATCGGCAGTGGATGTCTGGAGGTTATCCCAGTTGCCCAGTCCAGTGGTGCCCTTTTTTATTTATTTTTTGGGGCAGGGTTCCTCTTTCAGGGCCAACCAACCAAGAAAGGATGCCTTTTTTCCCATAGAAATCCACGGGGCATCTGGGTAAAAGTCTTTGGCCTTGGGGAATACCATTGTAGCGGCAAGTGGGAAGTTTAGACTTTTTGGCTCAGGAAACGAGTAGGAGGCCCCGAAAAATGGTGGATTTTCCTTTGGTTTTAGGCATGGAAAGGATGGATGGGTTTAGAGAGGGCAGAAGTAAGTGATTCCTATGTAAGCCCTCTCCCGTCCATCATTCCTTCATTCATTTTCCATTTTTTGTTGTTTTCGAGAAGACCTTCCAGAGCGACCAAAGCGAGCGAGAGAAGGGATTCACGGTCCACTCTCTCACTAGTGAAGGTTGACCTTGTACTCGCGAATTATTCTCTGAGTTCAACCGCCATACTGGCCATAGGGTAGGCCGGAGATTTGTTGACGGGCGCTTCTTGTGGGATGCGCTTTGTGCTGAAAGCAGCCGTGGCTTCCCCATATCCCAAAGCTTTCCACCCCCTCCTTCCAGGGATTTTCCAGGCCGAGTCAAGGCTTCCACCTCACCAGAGTTTGTTGCAAGCCCCTCGCACTTGACTCGCTTGTTTTTGTGTTTGTTTGTGGGGCCTCTCTCAGGACATCAAGGCGTGGCTGTCCCTGAACGTGAACTTCTTCTCCATCCTCGGGCTTCTGACGGTGGGCGGCATCATCGAGATCCAGCGCTTCTTCCCCGACACGCTGTACTGGTGAGCTCGGCCCGAGCGGAGCGCCCGAGCGGAGCGGCCGGTGCGCCGCGGCCGAGCGGCCAAGCTGCGCAGCTGGCCGAAAGCCGAAAGCCGAAAGCTGCTGGTCTCTTGGCCGTTTTTGGGCCAAGGGAGCAGTTGGCACAGGTAAGGGAAGGCCGGCACGGTGAGTGTGAAGGCCCACTCCTCGGCCCAGGGGCAACGTTCTTTTTTGAACCAAGGCATCGAAGATGCCCTGTACAGAAAGGATCGATCTGCATGTTCAGCTGCAAACCGTATGTGATGGACACCAGCGTCGTTTTGAACCTATGTGATCCCCGAAAGCACCACTCTCTCAGGGAAACCCCGTCAGAAAAGTGTCTGAGTCAACGTTGCGCAACCTGTTCTATCTTTTTTCTGCACTACAACATGATGGTAGAACATATGTGCCTTAGTCACGAAAGCGGGGGGAGCTCCACGACTTGGTTCCTGCAGGTTTCCCTTCCAAGCCCAGCCACAGTTGCCCTCGCAAAGAGGGACTCCCACGATCCCGGGGTCTAGGGCTGAACTTGGCGTAAGACTTCTTGGGGAATCTTTGGCCCACTGTCCTGAGCTCAGCTGGACGCAGATCGGTCGATCCATCGCGCACAGAAGCGCTCGCGCTCGCGCTCGCGTGTGCGGGGGGGGCAAAGAGCTTCTCCGGTTTTGGTCAAGGGATGGTAGAGATGGGCAGAGAGGACAACCAGCCAAGACGTGGATGCTGTTGTCTTGCATTTGTTTAAGAGCACTCTTTTTGTTATGCCTTGTTGGTTTGAAAAGGAGTCGATCACTACTGGAAATATTTTTTATTTTTTCCAGGGGGCAAATGGAAGTTGTGCGACCCGTTTGGAGCATCAAGGCAAGACTTGCGGAGCTGGGGCCTCCCAGCATTTACGCGCCAAGCTTGCGGCGACCTCACTCAGAAAGGTTTCTTTCTTAGGGATTACGCTAGGTGAGTTGAATCATGACTTACCCAGATGGTTAAGATGGATCTGCTAAATCAGAGAGATCGGCGGTCTGTGATACTTTGTGAACTTGGAGGCCGCAGCCCGCCCTTCTTGCCGCAGTGGGTTTCCACTACCCGCAGCCAAAAGCCCCAGAACAAAAATAGCTATACAACCACTATATCGACACCATATGAAGGTGTTTCTTCTACTTTCGTTTGCCTCGGCCTCCTTGTCGCACGGGGCGTCCCCCGCCGGTTCCCGCCCTCGGCTCCGGCTCGCGTCGAGGAGCCGGACCTCGCGCTGGCGGACCCGGCGGCGAGCCCCACGTCGCTGGAGCACACCACGGTGCTGTACCTGCAGGCGGGTGGGAGGTAACCATCCCAAGCTTCGACTGCGAGGCACTTGTGATGGGCCCCTCAAAAGGGACACGCAAAATGCATGGGATTTCCATTTGTCAGCGTCACTTTCGGCTTACATCTCAGCTTGCCTTTGCAAAGTGGTTCATCTCCAACCGCCCCCCAGGAGTAAAGGATCTTCATTCGGGGGTGGAATTGCTAGTTTTTCTCCCAGACGGGATGTTCATGGAACCCAAGGGCGCCCCCCAAAAAAGGGGGACCCCCCCAAAAGTCTTTAAAGAGATCCCCCTCAAAACAATTGGGTTTGCGAGCTCCATGGAGATGAGCCCAAACAGCCATCATTTCTTTAGACATCTCCTTTTGGCTAGCTTCCATGTCATGTGATGATGATGATGATGACGACCATCATGATGATGATGATGAGGAAGATCCTGATGATGACTGTGATGATAACTATCATCGTAGCATCCCTTGCATCACCAGTGCTCCCTAATGAGAGATGATGATGACCGTGATGACAATGATGATAAGGATGAGGCCTGTGATGAAAACTCTCATCGTAGCATCCTTTGCATTGCCAATGCTGTCTAACGTTACTTTTGAAATGCATATAAGAACAAGAAAGAGATGATGATGACCATCAGGATGGTGATGAGAAGAGTGATGATGATGATGATGACGACCATCATCATGATGATGATGAGGAAGATCCTGATGATGACTGTGATGATAACTATCATCGTAGCATCCCTTGCATCACCAGTGCTCCCTAATGAGAGATGATGATGACCGTGATGACAATGATGATAAGGATGAGGCCTGTGATGAAAACTCTCATCGTAGCATCCTTTGCATTGCCAATGCTGTCTAACGTTACTTTTGAAACGCATATAAGAACAAGAAAGAGATGCTTGATGAGAAGAGTGATGATGATGATGACGACCATCATCATGATAGTGTGATGATAACTATCATCGTAGCATCCTTTGCATCACCAGTGCTGCCTAATAAGAGATGATGATGACCGTGATGAGAATGATGGCAAGGATGAGGACTGTGATGATAACTATCATCGTAGCATCACCGATAAGGGTGAGGACTGTGATGATAACTATCATCGTGGCATCCTCTGCATTGCCAATGCTGTCTAACGTTACTTTTGAAATGCATATAAGAGCAAGAAAGAGATGATGATGACCGTCAGGATGATGATAATTATCATCACAGTCCTCATCTTTATTATCTGTGATTAGCCATGGTTCATATCATCATCAGGGACGTCGCGTTAGTGACCGACCTGTGGTGTTTTGGCTCAAGTTTTGGGTTCCGTCGCGCCTCGAATGGGCGTCGCCGAACCCCTGCGTCGACCGACGGCATCTCGGGGGAGAAAGAGACCTCGGGCCGCCGCCAGGTTGGTAGGGACCAGTCGTGCGGCCTGTTGTCGACCAAGGTTGCGGGTTAACCCTTTTCTTGTTTGGTTTGTTTTCCTTTGGTTGTTGTTCTCTGGTGTGTGGGAAACCCTGATCTTTGGGACCGGGGATTGGTTTGCTTTTGGGGAACCTTTCTTTTGTGGCTTGTTTACCCCAACTTACCCATTGCCTGGGCACAGGCTCGTGCCCGAATCACAGGTTATCAGCCGTAGGACTTTCCTACGCGCTTGAGACCATCAACTACAAGCTCTATGTCGACCCCACGATCTCGAAGGAGCGTCGTGGATGAGGAGGCCATCCTAGGTGGCCTCCGCTCAGGTGAGGACCTACCGGACTATGACTACGAGGATTTCGAAGCAGGTTCGACAGGTCAGGACCGCAGGGGTGAAGATCCCGGTAGGGATACACCCAGGAGCCGTGGCAGGTACGCCGACGATGGAGACGATCGTATTTTCCGCCAGGCCACTGATGACGAGCAGACACGAAGGGTTTACTCCGATAGGAGTGGCTCTGAATCAGGTCACAGGCGTGGACGTTTTGACTTCATCAGCATGGCGATGGACATGGCCCGCCCTCATTCGGATGACCCGGAGGCCATGCCGATTCGACCTCCGAGATCTCTTGTTCCAGGTGAGTCGCAGGTCTCGGATTCGGATACGATGATCTGTTGAAATCGACCGCAGGATGGGGCAGTAGCTCAAAGCAGGGATCTGATGCCGGTAGGCCCAACCCTATTACTGCCAAATCTGAGTCTTATGATGACGGAGATTACAATTTTGCGGATGAGGAGGAGAGCCATTCGCGCCGAAGTGCAGGCAACCGTGCGGCTGCAAGGACTAGTCCTGCCGCCGCCAAGTTTGAGGTAAATGATGATGACGAGTATGCCGCATTTGCGGATCGCCGTGATGAGGAAGAGCACCAATCACGACGAAGTGCTAGGATCCGTGATGCTGCGAGGCCCAGGAGCCTCTCTCGTGGAGCCGCCAGGGACCTTCGTGTTGACAGGGACGGCCGAAGCGAGAGAGAGAGAGCCAGGGACAGTCGGGAAGTTCTTCGAGGATTGGAGGCTATCCATGACCGTGAGGGACCGGTAGGTCCCCCGGCGATTGGTGATACCCCGAATGTTCCCCCTTTTCCTAACATTACTTTTGGAGGTCCGTTGGATCAGAGAGACGTGAACTCGAACCGGGTTACTGGTTCGCCGAGGATCACCGAGCGGGTTGCCGATGTCGTTGGGAGAGGTGCAAGAGATGGCCGGCTTGCCGATGCACTCGGAATCGAGGATCATCCGTCGATCGCTAGCCCGTTAGGGCGAGATACTAGTGACCTTGAAACACTTAGGTCTAGCAACGAGTTCACACCTCAGTGGGGCTCGACCGCCAGGGAACGTAGTGCTTCTGCGAAGAGACCGTCACCCCTGGCCATTGAGACCGATAGGTCAAAGGCGAGGAGGGCTAGCCCCTCACCAATGGATTCAACTCCGCAGGATGAGGAGATGCCTGATCCTGCTGATGTTCACATTCACTCCACCCCCGAGTCACGTGCATCCAACGTTGATCCCCGATCTGGCGATAGCCGGAGAAGGGGATCCACCCCGAGTAGGCCATCCAGGATTGATGATTGTCCCGTAGATGACCCAAGAAGGCATGCCGGGGCTAGTAGGGCTCCTGAGAGGATCGAGATATCGACTCCTCCCGCCCTCAGATCTCAGTCTTCTGGCGAATCAGGTGACGTCAGGGCAAAGGAGATGTTCGAGTTGCACATTCAGGAGATGCTCGAAAGGGGTGAGGTTTCTGGCTCAGTCGCGAAGGCGTTCCATATCTTTGCTGACCAAATCAGGGTACTGAACGGTCAGGTGAGTTCCATGCGAAGGGAATGGAGTGACGAGAGCCGACAGACGAAAGACAAGGTCGATCGCCTGGCAGCTGAGGTTGCGACTCAATCTGATGCCGGGAGGATGCGTATGATAGTTCAACGGTTTGCAAGGGAAGTTATTCCTGACAGCAATACCATTGTGAGGCAAGCCATCGATGAACAGGCTGAAGTCGTCGAGCAGAGGATCAATCTGCTTTCCCACGAGATTCACGAATCTGTTAAGGACAGTGAACTCGCAACAGATCAGCTTCGCCAGAAGATTCACGAAAATAGTGAGGCTACCCGCAGGAGTCATGCTGCTTCCGAGGACGAGATCCTCAAGGACTTGGATAAGCTTGAGAAACGGATGTTCTCGGTAGAGAAAACCGTCGGGATGCGGAC